CAGTGAGTCAATACTCTGTGCCAAGGCCTGATTAGAGAACTGGACACACACAGCGTGTCATTCATGTCCTACACCCCACCCCACCCCACGTTAAAGATGAAGAACTGAGGGTTGGAGGGGTTAAGTAACCTGCTGAAAATAATTGGTAGTTAGTGGCCCAGTTAAAATTAAACCTAAGCAGTTTAGGGACTTCACTGGTGGTCTGGTGGTTAAGAAACCATCTGCCAATGCAGGGCACACAGGTTCGATCCCTGGTCTGGGCACTAGGCTCCTACATGTCTCAGGACAACTAAGCCCATGCACTGCCTTCAATGAAGCCCTCGAACCCTAGAGCCGATGCTCTGCAACAAGAGAAGCCACTGCAATGAAGAGCTGGGCTCACTGCAACCAGAGAAAGCCCGTGTGCTGCAACGTAGCGCCCGTGCAGCCGAAAATAAAATGATCAAAAAGTAAAAATAAAAAAACTTAAAGCTTAAAAAAAGAAGAATTCTTAAAACAAACAATGCCCCCGCCCCTCCCCCACCTCAGAAAAACCTAAGCAGTTTAAAACTCAGCTGTCGTTTTTTTTTTTTTTCCTCTTGGCAGCACCACTCGGCTGATTCCCTTAGGGCCCCAACCAGGGATCGAACATGGGCCCTCAGCAATGAGTCTGTGATGCCCTAACCACTGGACCACTGGGAAATTTTTAAAACTCAGCCTTTAATCACTAAGCTAAAGGATTGAAATAAGAATTAATAGAATAGCTCCAATAAAAAAAAAAAACTTGAAACAAAAAGATATCTAATACAATTTTTGTTTTCATAAAAAATATTGTTCTGTAAGCTTACCAAATCAATGTTTTCAATAAGGTACTACCATAAATTGGAGAAAAGGGGGGGGGGGCAGATACTTCAGAAACATGTGCTAGAGAATGCTTACAACAGCATCGCTTTTAAAAAGCAAAAGACCAATGATAATGAAGACAAAGCAGTGGCATTTGGAGGCTGAAAGCAATTTGATTTATTTAACTTTGAAGAACAAAAGCTTATTCTTCTAAGAAGAAATAAAAACACATTTTCTGTGGAAAAAAGAAACCATTTTAACTGCATTGCCAAAATAAATCAGGCAGAGGGCAAATCAGATCCAGCTACAAAAAAGAACTCAGGCCAAGGAAACAGAGGAAAAAATGCCGAACAGCAGATTTTATTTTTTAAAAATAGAAGGAAAATGCTAATAAAAATTACTTTAAAAGAAAAAATAAAATAAAAAGAGAAGGATAGGGAGATCCTAAATCCAGTGGGTGGTATCAGCCACTGGATTTTTTTTTTTTTAAAGAAGGAATCCTAACCACTGGGCAGATGTGCATTTGCATTCAAATATTTGGATCAGTCTTACATTAAAACAGTAGCCCCAGGTGGCTTAGACAGTAAAGAATCTTGCCTGCAATATGGGAGACCTGGGTTTGATCCCTGGGTTGAGAAGATCCCCTGAAGAAGGAAATGGCAACCCACTCCAATATAAAACAAGGCATTTCTGTAAAATAGCATGGCCAAAAAATCCAAATTTAAACAAAAATATTTTTCAGAAAAAAAATACAGCTCTAAAAACTGTATCAGACCATGTAAAGATACATAACACTCCTGTCTGACTGTATTAGCTAAATTCCACTGCAGATCTGTTGATTCAGCTCAGAACCAGCTCAGAACTCTGCCATCTGAGTCCAGCAGGAAAAACTTCCAGATTTCTCTAGCTGGAAAATCAAGTCCTATTAAATAGCTATCTCTTGGAGAATGAGAAATAATAAGAAACCAAGCAAGAAAAATCTCAATGAATACATAAATATTTTTAAGTGTCAATGAATATTCCCTTCCCTCCCTTCTTAGAGTCCATTCTCTGTTGGGCTCACCAGACATCCTTACTCAGCAAGTCCCAATCCCAGTAGACTCTAATCCCAGGACCTGATTTTCCCAGACCTGGCTGAGTGGTGATGTCTGGGACTTCAGGAGCTAGACTGCCTGGGTTGGACTCTACTAAACTCCACCACATTCTTACTGCTAACTTAAAACAAGTTGCTTCAACTCTCTGTGCTTAACCTGGCACCTCCTTACTACTCCTTCCAAAGCATGCCAGGTACACGGTAGATACTCAACACACAGCACGTATTATAAATAAATTAGTCCCATGGGCATTCATGACACTATTCTCTCTACTTTTGAGTTTCTTCGAAATTTTCCAAAATAAATGTTATTTTTTTATTCCAAAATTAATTAAAAACTCGAAGGCTCAGAAAACACACCCCTTTCTAAGGTCACTCATGTGCTTGTTGATCCTTTGGCCAGCATACCACCACTAGGAGCCAATGACATACCAGAGGCTCTCCTGGCACTTGCATTCAATTGATGAATTCAATATCCTACTTCACATTCAAGAAAACCAAGAGTAAGAGCAGTGAAGGACAATTTCTAAGCAGCAAAGCTAGGATGAAAGCCCAGGTCTCCTCATCAAATTCAATGCTCTTTCACAAAATCCTGGTAGATGATTGGATGCTTTGCAGAGAATATCGAATTTTAAACCAGAGAGATGTGGTCAGGATTTCAGATGACTGGGTCAAATCCAGATACAGACAGAATTTGGACCAAGAACACTAGTTGAGCAATCCTAATTCTTTTAACCTTCCCAGATCCTAAGTGCCTCTCTCTGGGCAGTAGTGGCCAAAATCAGCCGTGGCACATTAGCAAGGCTGTAGGTTGGGCTGGGCCGGACCAAGGATCACCTTGCACTTCCTGCCTGAGGGCAAACAGTTGTCTTCTTACCCATGGTCTGCTCCATCTCTCAACACACTGCCAAGCTGATGACTCATATGCAGAACTGTCATTACAAATCATGCTTTCTTTGCAGCTGAACTGGCTGGTCTTCCTCACCTGAGACTTGAGTAGCCACTTACTTCTCTTCCCAAAAGGCAACCCCTCACACTTTTAGTCAGAATGTTTCTCTAACTGACCAAAATCACTCAGAATTCTAGTTCTAATATCTGAGGTACCATCTACTCTGTCAGTAACACTTTCTGCAACAATGGAAATGTTCCGTATCTACATTGTCCAATACGGCACACCCTAGCCGTCTATGGCTCCTGAACACTTAAAATGTGACTAGTGCAACTGTAGAACTAAATTTTTTATTTTAATTAATCTAAATTTAAGTAGCCATAGATGTCCAGTGACTACCATATTAGACCACCAGGTTCTAGATCATTGGTGGAAATGTTCTGCATTCATGGGTCTTCATGAGCACCCCAGGATGGCAGAAGAGTGTGGCTGGTCTTCCAGTCACAGACCTCAGTTCAAATCGGCTCCTCCTTCCAGCTATGTGACCCACACCATGTATATAACTTACCCTTTGGACGCACTGGTTTCCTCATCTATAAAGCAGGGATAAAAGTGTTCATCCCATTAGGAACTGTTTATAATAGTGACATCTAAGATATATCTCAGTACAATGTCCAGAAGACTAGAACTCTGAACTGACATCAGTTGCTTTTATTATTATCTTCATCATCCACTTCCTCTTCCTAAATACTGGTTCCCTTCCCAAGGCACGAGTAACTCACTAAAAAGGAACTCTGCTTTTAAGAAAGCCCTATTGGGCTTCTCAACTCACTGGGAGGGGCCAGATCTTCCCAAGGGCAAGAAAGCAAGAGCTAGTGCTGGAAAGCTAAGCGAACCCCTATGTCTTAAGGAATTCAGGAGCACAGTTCCTCCGGATGACTTCTGGATCATCCCCAACCCTCTGAGCCTGGGCAGGTATCAGAGAAGCTCCACTCAAAAGCCACTTCTCCCTCGACGCAGCCACACTGACCACAAGTGAATTCACTTGTAATAATTAGTAGCACTGACTGCTCATTTCCTAATAATTAGTAGCACTGACTGCTCATTTCCTATCTGCCAGGCCCGGGGCTTCCTGCGTTAGTTCCCTCATATCTTACTGCCATCCCTCGAGGCAGGCAGCATCATTTTTACTTCCCAGTGAGGAAAGTGAGGCACAAAAAGCCCAAGCACACTGCCCAGGCCCCAGTGCTGGTGAGTGGTAAACGGGGACTTGACCTGGCAGCCTGACTCCAAGGTTCAGGCTCAAGCTTGCTATTTCCCTGTAGCTTCCAGGACCCTGCCTCCCGCTGCCTCTGTAAGTGGAACCTCTCCTGCCGCAGCACGCAGGCTCTGATGGTTTTACTGGAGACAGTCACTCCTGAGTCCTCACACCCTTCCTTTTACATATAATAAATAACAAGAAAGGGATGGGCAGGCCTCAAGCCAGAACAGAAAGCAAAGAGGAAGAGAAAAGCTAAGCCAATATCAAATCAGCTGAGGCTTTTTTTAAGTAATATCTTCCAAAGTTAAAACAGCCAAGCTAAGAAGCATTCACTTTTGCTTTTAAATTGCTTCAAAATATCTGATGCAAAGAGTAATATTTCTACTGGGGGATATTTTAGAACTGTGACGCATCAAAGAAAACTAGTTTCTCAAAGAAAAAAGCATTGCTGTGCTCGCTCCAGTCTTTATCAAATCACTGTTAACCTAGAAGTGACGACAAGATTATGTGTCATTTGGCCTGGATGGTTTTTAAAAGGATTTTTACCAAGCTGCCAACATGTAAAAGTCTGTGGTGATTTCACATGTAAAAACTCCTAGATGTCCCCCTTTTTTTGGCAAAGATACAGCCATGCTAAGTGCCTCCCACCGTGTGGGCAGGGAAGCCCTATAGATGGGGCATGTGATCTCTAGTTTGCCACAATCTCCACCGCTCCACAGTGCCTCGTAAGTGATCCTCCCTCCTCATCGCCACGTAGGTCAAGCCTCTCGAGGCACCTGTGTTGGTGGGCTCTTCACACAAAGCTCTGGGCAGAGGAGAGATGGTGTTCTGCCCCCCAGAGCCCTACCAGCCCCACCCCCGTGTCCCTGGGATGCTCTGGCACCTTCTCCCGCCCTGGACCACCGCGCCCCCAAGCCGCCACAACTCCGGCTCACCTGCTGCTCGGTCTCATTCTGCTGCCTCTTCACAGGCGTCCCCGGCACCTCCCCGTTGGCACTGTCGGCCCCGCTGACCGACATCAAACTTCTCCGCTCCTTCTGACTGGACTTGGGTTCCACCTTCGTAACTCTGAACCTGAGCGGGTGGAATCGGGGGGGAAGAGGAGATGTGATGGGTTTTGCTTTTCCACTGAACAAGAATCATGAATGAACTAAAAAATCTACCTGGAGGATCCCAAAACAAACGCAGCCAAAAGTTAGGACAGCAGTGAACATCACCATATTCACGTGTGCACGCGACTATATATAATAAGATAACCAACAAGAGCCTACTATATAGCACAGGGAACTATACTCAATATTTTGTAACAACCTATAAGGGCAAAGAATCTGAAACAGAATATATATGTGTGTGTGTGTGTGTGTAATAAAAACCGAATCACTGTGTTGTACACCTGAAACTAATATGACATTTTAAATTAAAAAAAAAAAAAAGAAATTCGCCACATTCAACAGGAGGAACCATCCCACAGAGCAAGGTCCCTGTTCCCCGCCAAACCTCTCAGCTACTATTCACTCAACACATCACGGACTCCGCGACACGGTTTATACAGCACGTGAAAACGCAGTAAGAAACACGGGCACTCAAATAGGAAACAGCCTCAGAGCTGTGGTTTCTAACAAGGACCCGAGCATTCACATCAGTTGTTACCCCAGAGACTGGATAAAAGCCTGACGAGTACGGAAATCAGATGTTCACTAGGCAGTTACCTTCCTCAAATTTTTCCTGGCAGAATGTCTATCTCCACACACGGCCCCAGTCACATGTTTATCGGCATCAGTCAGAGGCAGGGTTTTTGTGTGTGCTTGGGTTTTGTCTGTTTTGTTTTTTTTTTTTTAAGAAAATTTGGGCTTTCATTAAGAGTTAAGGAATTTGAGAGAAAGTTTCCTTAAGAATTAAAAGAGAAGGAAAATTTATTCAACTGGACTGCTTTTCTCATCTATCAGCATCAATACCCTAAGTCTGTTCTAAGTCTCTAGCCCTGGTCTTCATTTCCCTCATAACCATCTAAAATAAACTCTCCTTCTTTGTCCAAAATGAGCTTACCCACCAGAAGGAGGAGGGGGATGCCGCGGAAGGGAAAGGAGGATTAGGAAAACAGCTGTCACCACAAACCTAGGTAGTCAAACTCTCAAGACTCTCATGAAGCAATGTATGCTGAAAAGCAGCCTGTACTCATTCAACATTCATAGTATTTATTCTATTAATACCGCCAAGACACAGAGTTGGATGCGGGGCATCTTTTTATTGGAGTATAATTACTTTACAGTGTTTGTGCTAGGATCTGGGGCATTTAAAAAAGCCATGTTGAATCTGAGTAGAAAGTTTCAGCAGATTTTTTTTTTAAAGCAAACAAAATACACTTTGTCCAAACAACTTGCAGGTTCTCACCCCACTCTACATTCATAAGTTCCCATGACTCTGTTCTGAATAAAACAGCATGGTCACGAGTTGCACTGTTTCGCTGTCAGTGACAAAGAGCCATGCTGTCTTCTCCTGCTTGCCTGTGCAACACACGGTAAAACTCGGTGAAATTCAAACGATAAAATAATAACAGACAACAATCCCTTCTTTCTAATTTTCATTTTATACTGTAGCATAGCTGATTATCAGTGCTGTGAGTTCCAGGTGTAGAGCAGAGTGATTCAGTTACACGTACACATGTATCCATTCTTCAGACTCTTCTCCCCCTTAGGTTACTACATAATATTGAGCAGAGTTCCCTATGCTGTACGGTAGGTCCTTCTGGTTAATAAGAGCCAACAATTCTTGAGTATCTAATCATCGACAAAGACTGAATTAAGACCTTTAACACGAGTCTCCTTATTTAGTCTTCACAGCCACCCAATGAGGTGTGACTGTCATTCCCATTGTACAGAGGGGGAATACTGAGGCACAGAGAGAAGGAACAGTGTGTCGTGATGCCAGGACTCAAATGAGGGCGATTTGGTGAGTCTAGGCTACTCCTCCTAGAGTCATCAGCAGAGAAAGCAGGACCACACACGGCAGCACAGTCAGTGTTTGCTCAGGGCTTCCTCAGTCTGGCGGCAGCAGGCTTACTCCCCACCACTGCCTTCACCCACGCAGCATTAGCCATGCAGTTCCTGTGGGACTCTCAAAATCCACCAAAAATGCTGTGTGTGTGTGCATGCTCAGTCACTTAGTCAGGTCCAATTCTTTGCGACCCCATGGACCGCAGCCCTCCAGGCTCCTCTGTCCGTGGGGATTCTCCAGGCAAGAATACTGCAGCAGGTTGCCATGCCCTCCTCCAGGGCATCTTCCCAGCCCAGGGATCAAACCCAGGTCTCCCGCATTGCGGGCAGATTCTTTACCATCTGAGTCACCAGGGAAGCTCACTCCGTATCATCAAATTCCTACCCTGGGTGTTCAGACCGTAAAGAAACTGCCTGCAATGCGGGAGACCTGCATTCCCTCCCTGGGTCAGGAAGATCTCCTGGAGAAGGGAATGGCCACTCAGTATTCTCGCCTGGGAAATCCCATGGACAGAGGCATGTGACGGGCTATAGTCCATGAGGTCACAAAGAGTCAAACACAGCCAAGTGACTCACACACCCACATCGTCAAACTGATTCATCACCCCCAAAGACCTCCGCGTCACATACAGGTCACCAGTAATGGAACTTTAAGACTGGGGAACCGGGGCACAGAGGAGGTGAACTAAAGAAAGCAGTCCCAGGAACCCACATGATCTGACACAGCAGAGACTGGAACAGCTCCTTCTCTTCCCTTCTTCCCAGCACATGGCTGGACGACACTTCCCACCTCCCTGGGCATTAGGTGTGGCCGAGTGATTGAACGCCAGTCAGAGGAAAGTGAGCAAGAATGAAAGGTGCCACTTCAGGCCCATCCCATTAAAACCTTTTGTGAACAATCCTCTGAGGACTTTCTCCTGCTAGCAAACCTGGCAGTGGCACCAGATGGAAAGGCCCTGGGGCTCTGGATGACCACTCCAAGAGCCACCACCAATCTGATCTCCACGAGTGACATGAACTCCTGTATGGAATGGAGATTGTTTATCTATTAGAGAAAGTGTGATACTGTCACTTGACCAGGCCAAGGGCTGAACACAGTCGATAAAACATTATTTCTGGGTGTGTCTGAGGGCGTTTGCAGAAGGCTTTGCAGATGACATTAGCGTTTGAATTGGTGGATTGAGTAAAGATCATCTTCCCCATTGCAAATGAGTATCATCCAAACCCTCAAAGGCCTGAATAGAACAAAATGGCAGAGGAAGACTGAATTTGCTGTTTTTCTTTGAGCTGACTCATCACTCTTCTTTTGCCATCGGACATGAGCATTCCAGGTTCCTAGGCCTCCAGACTGGGACCAGGACTAACAGCATTAGCTTGTCTGGTTCTCAGACCTTTGGGCTTGGACTGAATTACCATCAGCTCTTTTGGTTCTCCAGATTGCAGACAGAAGGTCACGGGGCTTCTTGGCCTCCATGATCATGTGAGCTAATTCCCACAGTAATTCTCTTCTCATACGTTTATGTGTGTGCATATATATATAATATGGTGGAGGTGGTTTACTTGTAAAGTCATGTCCAACTCTTGGTGACATCATGGATTATAGCCTGCCAGATTCCTCTATCCATGGGATTTCCCAGGCAAGAATACTGGAGTGGGTTGCCATTTCCTCCTGCAGGGGATCTTTCAGATCCAGGAATCAAACCCACATCTCCCGCACTGGCAGGCGGATTCTTTACCTGAGCCACCAGGAAGCATAACATAGAATCTTATTGACTATGTATACATATGCATGCACGCTCAGCTGCTTCAGTCATGTCCAGCTCTTTGCAACCCTGTGAACTGTGGCCCGCCAGGCTCTCCTGTCCTTGGGATTCTCCAGGCAAGAATACTGGAGTGGGTTGCCCTGCCCTGCTCCAGGAGATTTTCCCGACCCAGGGATTGAACCCATGTCTCTTACACCTCCTGCATTGGCAGGTGGGTTCTTTACCACTAGTGCCACTCTGGGAAGCACACACATACACACACACACACACACACACACACAAAATACATACAGAATCTTATTGATTCCTGGAAAACCCTAATACAGCAAGTAATTCATTTGTTACCTTAATCAATACATCTCACATCTGATCTCACAACAGCCACCTCTTAGAATTCTTCTTCTGTTGGAAAAATGCGGGACTCAGACCAGAAAACATCAAAGAAGCCAAGAAACAGGACCAAGCCAGGCTCAGGAGAATACACGCTACATTTAATACATGTAAAACTCCACACAGCACAGCGACCATGTCACACAAACCCCAAGCCTCCCAGGACTCACCTGCCCACAGAGAGGACGGTGACCTCTCCTTGGCGCCTCGGGCGACCCTCTTTGGACTTGTTGGTGGGTTTTATGAAGTGCCACCGCTTGTGCCTACAGCGATGGCACACGTCCTGCTCGACGGGACCCCCCACTGTGTGCAGATGGTGGCCGCAGACGTGCTTCCCTGGGGTGCCCCCCGGTGACAAGGGCCCGGGGCTCACCGGCGGGCTCCCAGGAGTGCTGGGCGTCACTGGGCTAAGACAGGAAGAAAAAAAGGAAAAGGGTACTTAAAAGAAATAGCTACGCCATTCGGTCCCTCTGCAATGTAAGAAAGGTTTAAAGCAAAAGAAAAAATACCTCTTCCAATTACACAAATGGGCTTTGTGGACTGATCTCAGGCAGCAGGTACTCAGACTATACAATGACAGCTCATTGTGAACAGTAATGATGTGATTTGTCACTTCTAGTTAACTGGTTGGAAATAAACCACTGCTTTTAATGAAAATGCACTGTTTGTCTCTGAAGTACAAGGTTTCTTTCCTTGTATGGCTGATCTCCCTTCTCACACAATCTAATTTCATGCAAACTAATATCTCATACTTACCCAAATGCCTCCTAGATCTCTAAGCAAAGAGAGGCGCTGAATATATATACCCTGGAGGAAAGAGAAACTTAAATTCCAATCAAATCACTGGATGACTTAAGAAAGAATATTTGATCCAGTCTGATTATTGGGTCAAAGGAAGAAAGCTCTTAGGCCAAGATATCAAAAGTGATGCTCAAAAGAGATGTTGATAATAGTAATAATAAAAACCTAACACTTAGCATTCTAAGCATTCGATCTTTACAAAACCTCTAAATCGGAACTTTGGACACTGAACCTCAGAGCGGTTAAGCAAGGTCAAGGTCACACAGCTAATAAGGGATGGCTCTGAGATCCAAATCTAGAAAGACTAAATCTGAAACCATGATCTTAACCATCATGCTACAGTGCTTCAGAAACATGGGAGACGACTTTGATAACCTAGAAGAAACCCAGCCAGACCATCCAAAGTATAAAAAGCCCAAGTCTAAAGGTTAGATGCTGGCTGCTTTCAAAAGGCATGTGTCAAGCCTCTGGTCCTCTAGAAAAGGAGGAGTTAAGACACAACAGGGCTGGCCTGACCAGGAATCTGAGCTCTGACGTGATATAGGTGGGTGTGAGTGTGGGTGTGGGCCGGTCAGCATGTCACAGCAGAGCCTGACTCCTGAGACCAGGCCAAGAGTCCCAAAGGCACATGGAGGTCTCATGATAGCATCAGCCAGCCTTCATGCTACAGATAACCAGCCCACTCGTCCATTTCAAAAGGAGCATGCATAATTGAAGAGAAAGTCTCAAAGACCCCAAACAGCCAAAAGTTTCCTGGCTTTCATTAAGTGTACTTTTTAGGTTGTTAAAATAAAAACACACAGCTGCAGCTTTCTGGGGTAAAACAATGTTAATACCACATATTAGGAGGTTGAATTGAAAGTTTAAAAAAATCAATCAAAAAAAAATTAACAAAAAGAAAAAAAAAAGGAACAATTATCTGTACCCACTGTGCACAAAACCCAATCATGGGGACTTTAGGATGCTCTCAGATGACTGAGATGACACGGTCCTTCGATGAGGAGCCCGTGTTCAGGGCTGGAATGTGGGGGGACCCACAGCCCGTAAGTCTCTATGAACTACACCACCAGGGCTCCCAACACTGGCCTTCCTGAGCTGAGCCGCCTCACTGAAACGCAGATCTAACGCGGCCAGTTTCACAAACACATACGAAACAGCTAAGATGTGCTGCATGCACAACCCACAAAGTAAGCAGAAAAAGGCCCAAACCCCTTGCCAGGTCACTCAGACCCAATTTGCTTCCTTGGTCCTTCCTGCTGTGTCCACAGCACACCCTCAGGCCACCCGAGACTGAACCTTCCCGGGCATCCCACACTTTCCCTCTCCTGGGCCTTTGGTCCTGAACTCTCTCTCCCCACAAGTTTCCCCTACTTCTTGTTTCTACTCTCCATTAGACTGAGGCCTCCTTGGCAAGGATGTGTGAAGGCCCAGCTCCGGCATCATGCCCAGCACACAGCAGGCACTCAATAAACGCTCTCTGAAGCATGAAAGATGACACAGAAATATAGTTGCCTGTGATTATAATTACGACCGACTGTGAAGCTCAACAACCATAATCTAAAACAAACATCCCTACCCTAATACAAAAATAGAACTTAGCAGGTGCTTCCAAACCAGCCCAGTTTTTCATTTAAGCATAATTGTTCATGGAGGTCTTTCGATGCCTGAGATATTCTGTATTTTTTATGATATTCCAGATAGGTTTGTATGGCAGTTACCCCCAGTTTGTAGATAATGGAACTTGGGCTCAGAGTGGTCAGTTAACTTACCCGAGAAGAGGGGAGCCATAGGTGGTGCAGGGAAGACAATTTAGGTGCCCGATTCCAGGGCATCCTCCTCCCATCACGGTTTGCTAACCCAGCAGTTCTCAACCAGGGGCGACTTCACCCCCAGGGGACACGGGCAGTGCCAGGAGACAATGTGGGATGGCACACCCCAGGAGAAAGGAACCATGGCATCCATTTCACTGGAGGCCAGGGATGTTGTAAAACTTCCTACAAGGCACAGGACAGTCCCCCACGGCAAAGAACGCTCTGGCTCACGTATCAATAAGGACAAAGCAGAGAAACCTGCTCCAGCAGATAACTGGAAAAAAAAAAGCCTCATAAAATCAGGGGGAAAGCACTCACCTTTCAGGATCACACACGCTGTTATCTGCTACCATTGCCGCTAAAACATCAACATTTGCTAAAGAAAAAAAAAAAATTAAAATGGAATGAATTAGATGAGTGATCATACAATTAGCATATCAGAAAAACTGTGAGAAAAACACCTAATTGAGTTTCTTCAATTCACAGATGAGGCCTTCGGGCCCTGGAGAAGGCAGGGCCTTTCCCAAGGAAAGTCCAGATATGGCTCCATCTGCAGATCATTTTCAACTCGCAGGAAGTTAGTGAGAGTGACAAGAAGATCTACGCAAAGGAAAGCAGATCTACCACAAAGCTCTGCTTCCTATACGTTGTCAGCAATACAACATAGAGATTTTTCTCCTCAAACCGAAGGGAAACTGAATGTAACTCACTCTGCTAAATATGTCATAAAATGCATGACTCGAGACCTGTATTCTAATAACTTCCATGTGCTCATATAATGAGCCCTAAATTCTGGATACCCCATGTAATATCAAGTATGTGGTCTTCGCCGATGGCTCAGTGGTAAAGAATCCGTCTGCAGCGCACACAGGAGACTCAGGTTTGATCCCTGGGTCAGGAAGATCTCCTGGAGGAGGAAATGGCAACCCACTCCAGTATTCCTCCCTGGAAAATCCCATGGACGGAGGAGCTTGGGGGGCTATAGTTCATGGGGTCGCAGAGTCTGATCATTGGACATGCCTGATCAGGGCGTGGTAACAGCACCAAGTCTATCCACACAGCGCCGGGGATGAGAAAGGGTTAGTTTCTCAGGCGGGCCATTTGGTTTAGCTCTGCTTGAGGGCCATACAAGACCTGAACTCTAGCCAAGTATCTTAAAATTTCAAATGCTGGTCAGGGTCCCATGCGTGGGATTCCTGACTGAATCCCAGGTTTCTTATGTCTCCTGCATTGGGAGGCGGGTCCCTTACTAGTGCTTACCTAAGAATTCACTGGTTACACAGATCAGTTATCTAATATGGACAGAGCTAAATTCAACTTCTAATGTTAATTTTTTAAAAAATCCAAATTTGGAGGTGGAGCCTAAGCTGTCAACTAAAGCAAACTGAATCTCAGCTTCTTGGGGGCCTACCCCGCCACCGTACACAGACACACGTTACTTCATTTTTTGTAGGGTGTCAAGTCTTAAGAAGAAAAGATGGAACTGAATGGTCAAGTTCCTCTTGGGTATTTCCCAGCAAGGTCAGATGTTATGACTGACTCTTGACTCCTTTCCATTGACTTTTAAAAAAATATGTATTTACTTTTGGCTGTGCTAGGTCCTCGTCGCTCCCTGGGCTTTTCTCTACTTGTGGCAAGCAGGGACCACTTTCTAGCTGCAGTGCATGGGCTTCTCCCTGAAGTGGCTTCTCTTGTTGTGAAGCAAGGGCTCCAGGCACACGGGCTTCAGTAGTTGGAGGTCCCAGTCTCTAGTGCACAGGCTTGGTAGTCATGCTGCACCGGCTTAGTCGATCCATGGCCTGTGGGATCTTCCCGGATCAGGGATCGAACCCACGTCTCCTGCATTGGCAGGCAGACTCTTTAACACTGAGCCACCAGGGAAACCTCCCCATTGATTTTTAAAGTGCTGTTCTCAGTACTAACCACAAGTTCTCTAGACATAAAACAATTAAAAAAAAAAAAAACTATTTACCATGTGAGCTAACACCAACATTTAATATTCAACAATCTCGAAATTCCAAGAGAAGGAAAATTAACTCCAGTCTCAACACTGCTGCTTTTAAGTCAACAGTTAAAGATAGATCTAGTGTTCTGCAACTTTTTTTCATGACTGCTCCACCTAGAAGCTTTTTTCTTTTTGACATTTTTTTCCTAATTCATCCTCCCATAAAACTATAATACTGAAGATAAACAACTGTTTATGTATTATGTGCATATCTTCTTTTTACATATAAAATAGTAGGGTACTTTTTTGCCCCCACAATCCAATATTATCCCCTTCACAACCCTTGCAAATGCATAGGATTTTTGAAGAAATACTAAAGGAATACACCATCATTTTCAAAAAGAAATAATTTCTTTGCCTTTCATGACTATCTATGAAAATACACAAATACATTTCCAAATACAAGTTTTGATATAAAAAGACTCAGCATTACAAAAAAAAAGCACTGAAATGGATGAGTAGTGTCTTCTCCCACAGAACAAAAAAAGGCATGTTACCCCTCTATGTCAAATTTAAATATAATTTAATCATGTCCCTTGAACTAATACTAAGAATTCCAAAAAACATTTTCTTTCAGATAAAGTGTTTAGGAAACACACAATAATTTGCCAGTTGACATTTATATTATGCCATCTTTTACTAAACTTCAAAACTATTAACAAAAAGTGGTGGGGAATAACAACTAAAAAAAGAAATGGAAACAAAGATAATACTAATAGCATTCATTTACAAAGATGAGCTTTTCAAAAAGTTTATATAGTTACCTGAGAAAATTAATCACCTGCAAAATGAGGACCTCTGTTAGAAACATCAAATTATAAAATGCTTCCAGGAAGATAATTAAAATATATTAAAAGCATTACTTTTTTTTTAGGCTTGTGTTGTTTCTCATATATTCATGTATCCCTGTACTTCTCCCTCCTTATTTCTTAGAAACAATAGTAAACAATCCCTTAGTTTGCTATGACCAATGATTTAACAGTAGGCTCAAGTTTTTAATGCAAATAACATGCATACTCATGTAGGACCAACACATGCACAGACGCACTCATGTAGACCCTTGTCTCTAGGCTATCACCCAGTCTACACCAGGGAGTAAATCTCAGTGAACTATCCCTTGTGAACCTTTTTGGTTTCCTGTGATGAGAAAACTCTAACATAACACCACCATTAGCACATAAACACATGCTTTAATTTGGTTATAAAATTACCATCAAAAAGCAAAACCCAGTTAAGTTCTATTAAATATACATCTCCTTGTGATTACTCATAACTTCAATAAACCCCAAGAGATGGTTTCCCCTACACCTTTTAAAAAAAAATTTATTTATTTGGCTACGTTGGGATCTTTGTGCATCTTGTGGGAATCTTTATGATGCACAGGCTCAGTAGTTGCACACAGGCTTGGTTGCTCCGCAGCATGAGGGATCTTAGCTCCCTGACCCAGCATCAAACCTGCATCCTCTCCATTGGGAGGCTAATTCTTAACCACTGGACCACCAGGGAAGCCCCCTCCCCTACACTTGTCAACATTCTGTCCAACTCTACTTCCTTTCATGGGCGTCCAAAGGATGGGAGGAGTCAGTTACAGGGCAAGCAAAACCTGTCAAGAGCAGGGGAAATCTTCTAGTGGGCAATCATTTCCAGATACGGTTTCCTCTCTTTCCTGAACTTCTGCCTGATAATATGCATAGAGTAGTCAGAATCCGCCCTGCTTTCTCTCCCACCATCATCCTCTTTAAAGTTTTCCCTTACAGTCAAGGCAAGATCCTGGTATGTGCCAGCCACTGTCAAAAAGCTTTACAGACCTCCCATGTTTGATTCACTCTAATAGCAGGCAGAATTATCATCCCCATTTTACAGATAGAGACTGAGGCCTAAAGACTGTAACTGACTGTCCAGAATCCCACAGCTAGAAACAGACCTAGATACAAAAACCTGGTCTATCTAACTCTAGGGTGGGTGCATTTCACCCCAACCAACTCCTCCCTACTCCTTCTGAGTCTCCACCCACATGATGATGGTTTAACAGTTAATTCATTTTAATGTATGACAAAAACCACTGCAATGTTGTGACGTAATTAGCCTCCAACTAATAAAAATAAATGGAAAAAAAAATAACAGTTCACAGGATGTTTGCATAATCATTATAGCAAGCTTCAGAGATCTACTCAGTGATGATGGTAGTTTATGAAGAAATCCTTTTAGCCATCACACAAATTGAGTGCCAAGATAAGAATTTCACCAAGGGACCCCTCTCTTCTGCCCAGTGTAAATAACCATAATCAGGGGTGCTTGGACAGTAATCACAATACTGACAGGTGCTGCTATTTTCAGACAGCGTCTGGCCGTGGCAGAGAAGCCCAGCTGGAGAGTTGCAGGCTCTTTCCAAACTTCCGCAGTGAAATGCTCTTCTGGTCCTGCTCTGTTTAGAAAGGATTACAGGCTAGTGGGAAAATAATCAGTGTGCAGCTTAGCCAAGAAATTCATCCTACAAGAGATATCTGTCTAAACGAAATGTGAATTGCAACATCCAAGACATGATAGGTTTACACCATAAACAAGAATGTCACCATGAGTACTGGTGAAGTATTACCCCCTTAGCCAAATTAAAAATGCAAACCAGAAGATGAGTCATACATCAGGAGTGGAAGTATTTTAAAATATGTAAGTATAGGCAAAAAAAAACTAAATAAACATGGGAAAAGGGTAACGGTTTGTACTCAATTTTATTCATTTTTTCTCCAATGTTTAAAGAAAAATTATGTTATAGTGTGCTATTTAAAAAAAATAGAAAGTTAATTAATCTCAACATGGAGGTCTAAATGGATATTAAGTTCAGAGTCTGTTAATGACAAAGAAAGAAAAATACATTTTGTTGTACAGAGAATTTAAGTCTCCAAGGCAAACTAATACAACTAGGTTATAAACTGGTAAGAGACCCAAGTACCTATTTAATCCCCCAGCTGTGGTTTTGGCACAGGCTGGAAGCTAGAGAGGTCACTCTGTGTGAGTACCCAGTGAAATCAGATGTCTCCTGGTGGCCAAGGAGAACCAAGGCCACACACAGGATGAGGTCACAGAAGAAATCTTAGGCGGACAGACGAAGGCCCTTACATGGAGAAGGGTGAAGAATAAGAAAGACAGAAGGCAAAGAGCTGGGGAGCAGGGGAGAAAGAATGAAATCAGAGCTTTGAATACTCCACTGGTAATCAAGGCAGCAGAAACTCAAAAGCTACTTTCCAAAAGGAAAAGGACATAATTAAAAAAGGAGTCCTAGAGTCTGTGAGTGTGGGAGTGAGGAAATTATACAGTCTGCTTCCTTCAGGGACCCACAGGTTTCACCTCGGCTGTAACATAAGAAAAGAGCCACAGGCCAGCTTGATGACCTTAGGCGACTTTCTTACCCTCTGGGCCTCTGTTTCCTCATCTGCAAAATGGGGTGGCAACAGGGCTGACTTCATAAGGTAGTTTGGATAATTTAATGCATTAATATTTAGAGTTCTATAAAATGCCCCAGCTGTATACGTTATCTCTTTGAAAGGAGGAAGTTTATCGTCCATCTTTCCTGACACCAGGAAGAAGCAGCGACAGTACACAGGATGGACTCTGACGTCAGAGGCTAGAGTTCAAATCTCAACTCTGCTACTTGCAGCAGGGCGACATGGGCAAGTGAGTTATATGCTGTGAACCTCAGTTTCTCAACAATAAATTGGAAATCATACATCTGAATCATAGGGCTCCCAGAAAACCCTCAGAACAGGCCTGGCAGTTAGCAAGCATTCAGTGCCAAATATGAAGTTACACAGGAGAACTTCAGCCCCCAGCAAAGTGCTCACAGCTGACATTTCACACCACTCACCCCTCAGGAACCCCTCCTGCAGCACTCACTCACTCAGCAGCTGCTTCAGCTCCCAGAAGCCAGGTCCCACAGCTCTCCAAGCTTCCCAAAGCCATGAAGGCGCTTTCTTTCTTTCTCTCTTTTTCTTTCCCCCAACTTTTAATTTTGTATTGGAGTGAGTGATAACCACTCAGTCTTGTCCGACTGCGACCTCATTGTAGCGCACCAGTCTCCGCTGTACATGGAATGCTCCAGGCAAGGATACTGGAATGAGTTGTCATTTCCTTCTCCAGGGGGTCTTTCTGACCCAGGGATCAAACCCAGGTGTCCTGCATCGCAGGCAGATTCTTGACCATCTGAGCCACCGGGGAAGCTGTATTGGAGAACAGCTCTTTAACCAAGCCGTGATAGTTTCACGTGGAGAACCAAGGGACTCAACCATAGACATACATGTACATGAAGGCAGTTTCGACTATGCAAGAGCCAGGAGGGGTGCAGGGCCAGCCACACCTTGCTCGGGGCACTTCTGTAATGGCTGGAGCTTTTATGCCAAGGACAGATTTGTGTGCTTCTTAAGCAAATTAAAATCCACTTCTTTATGCAAAAGAAATATGCACCACTGAGTCCTCAAGAATAGCATCACCAAATACTGCTCCCGAAGGAAAAGTGAAAAAAAGTGAAAGTGAAAGTCACTCAGTCTGACTCTGCGACCCTATGGACTATACAGTCCATGGAATTCTCTAGGCCAGAATACTGGAGTAGGTAGCCTCTCCCTTCTCCAGGGGATCTTCCCAACCCAGGGATCAAAACCAGGTCTCCTGCATTGCAGGCGGATTCTTTACCAGCTGAGCCACAAGAGAAAGTCTTTACTTTCTCTTTCAAAACAGGTATCGAATCCAATTGATGACTGTCTTTTTTGTTATTTTAAACATCATCCTATTAAGTTAGACTATCTGGTTTTCAATCCTGGAGAAACTGAAAGCGACAAACTAGAAGAGAGGCAAGGCAATGAGGTACAGATGGAAGAGGCCCATGCAGGGCGGCACTACTCCCTAACCATGTGACCAACCACGTGGAGTCTTCCTTTCTTCATCTGTAAATTGGGTATAATAATATCAACTCCAGAGGAATATTGTGAGGATTAAATGATATCATGCACATGAAGCACCTAGATCAATGCCAAATATGTAAAGTCCACTCTGTAAAGAAGAAATGAAAAGTGTGCTGAAGCATATGAAGTTGCTGCTTCTCTAGGTCAGAAAGACTGACTGCAGCCTGGGCCAGGCAGGTGCTCTGGTTAATCGTGAGGCTATGGGGACAAAGGACCCCACGGAGGGGCTCGGAACAAAAGGCAGGTATTTCCTGAGCAGTGCGGAGGTATTTCAACTTTCAGACAAAGGACTCAGCTGCGCCAGTGCGTGCTGCTTGAGACGGTGTTTACCAGGGCCCAGAGGGAGCCCTAGGAAAACATTTTGTTTTACCTTCTCATGAGAATTCAAAGCATAGGGCTACTGGATATGTTGGCAGAAAAAACTGTGACCTAAAAGTTATGCGCAACCTAAAAGTTGAGAGTTATGTTTTATTCAGTGGACAAATCTGAGGACTTAAGCTCAGGAGACAAGACTCTCAGATGACTCAGAGACTGCTATAGAGAGACAAAGGAGGGAGCCAAGATATACAAGAATTTCTGCAATAAAGACCAGGTAGTCAGAACGTCAATCTGCTACTGTTAATAAAAGAAAACCAGACATCCCAAGTCAAGGAATTCAGCGCTTTTCCATGTATGGGAAGATGCAAGTCTGGGCTCACTGAAATCATTCCTTTGATATGCATCTCAGCTCTCTGGGGCCAGGATCCAGTATTTTCACATCCTGAGTTTCCTCAGGACTCATAGTCAGGGAGTGGTGTAGTCTGATGGCTGCTAGATGCCAGGCATTCTTTCCCTCTTGGGCTCCCTCAGGGTTCACCACGGGGGCACTGTAACAGATGGCTTGATGGCTGACTCTCTTTGTTTACTGACATGAGGTGGCATTTTTAGTTCACAGGTATGTGGGCAGGAGTGCCACACGCCTCAAAAGTCACTTGGGGTGGGGTATCTCGTGGAGACAATCACCAATGCTTCAGAAAAATGACCCTGATTTATCTAATCAAGATTAAACTAATTCTCCATTCAAGAAGACAGGGGTTTAGGATACATTTCAGAATGGAAAAAAACGCTTAAAGTCAAAGTTCAGTGGTGGTGGTTTAGTCGCTCAGTCGTGTCCAACTCTGTGACCCCATGGACTGTAGCCCACCCGGCTCCTCTGTCCATGGGATCTTCCAGGCAAGACCACTGGAGTGGCTTGCATTTCCTTCTCCAGGGCATCTTCCCCACCCAGGGACTGAACCTGGGTCTCCGGTATTACAGGCAGATTCTTGACTAACTGAACCCCCAGAGAAGCCTAGACCTTTTAAAAGCTTTAACACTTAAGAATAGATCATAGAATAGGTGAACTCACAGAGGCAGAAAGCAGAGGAAGGGTTGCCAGAGGCTGGAAGGGAAGAGGGTGGAGAATGGGGAGTGACTGCTCAGTGAGTACAGAGTTTGGGATGACGAAAAGTTTCTGAAACCAGATACTGGTGATCTTTGTACACTACTGTGAACATGTGTGTGTGAGTGTGTATGTGCTCGGCCATGTCCGACTCTTTGCAACCCCATGGACTGTGGCCTGCCAGGCTCCTCTGTCCACGGGATTTCCCAGGCAAGAAGACTGGAGTGGGTTGCCACTTCCTTCTCCGTTGTGAATGTACTTAATAGCAATGAACTGTAAATTTTAAAATGGGTATAGCAGCAAATTCTACGTTTAGTGTATTTTACCACAGTATGTTTAAAAGCAGAAGAAAACGAATAGATAATATTTGAGTGCTTATTATACCAAGCAGCTTCTGTGCAATATGCCACAATAATATCATGAGGTAAATATTATTTTAGAGGAAGAAACTGAGGTTCAAGAGGTGATAAGGCTTTCCCCAAATCACGGCAACGCCAGGGTTAAAAGGTAAGCCTCCAGGGCTGACTTGGCAACACTCAGACCCACTGACTCTTAGAAAACTCACTTCTGTGAAACTCTCCTGATGGGATAATGCTGAAAGCTGGGCTATTTGTGAGCTTAGGTGGAAGGTGCTACCAGTAACTTCAGAAACATTGACAGGAGAATCCTGGTTTTTAATAAAACATGTTTTTGAAGCAGGTTTTTTAATAAAGTGTGAATAATGAATTGTTCTGGGCACTAAAACAGCCATACCTTCGTTTTTCATGATGTATTGGACAATCTGCCCAACGGTGTCACTATTTTCATTCACACTGTCGTTCAACTCTGAAAGAGAAAGGGGAGGGGAGGACAGGTTACAATTGCTCACCTGCATCAGGTCAAAGAGACATGCAGTCTCAGAGACTTAGACTTCCCTGAACAGTCTCCAGAAAGCTCAGCTGATGACCCACAGTGCTGAGAGCCCTGCTTTCTTTTAACACACCTTTTCTCTTAGCACACCTGACCAAAAGCACATGGCGACTTTCTCGGCAGAACAGGTGCAAACTGCCCATCAGTATCTTCTAAAGTCCAGACACATGCTTAATTTCCAAGAAGTCTTTACCAGTCCTTACAACTATTACTTCTTTCTCATCATTTTGTTAAACTCAAAGGGGAAATGGAAAGAAGAAAGATAATTAAAATAAAAACTTCTTGGATTTTATTTTCATTGTAGATATACCATATACAGAGTATTAATTTATTTCTTAAATTGGGTAATTATTCACCTCTGTCTTCACAAGACTTTTAAATATACTTCCAAATGATCTAAATGTTGGCCATGGTTAATTACCTATAAACTCAGTTTACTTTGAGAGACTCTGTACATGCGATAGTCTTTAGGGGGAAAAAAAAAAAGTCAAACCTTTAGTCTGAAACTGATCCTTATCATTCGCTTCCATTACACAAGAAAGAAGAAGGGGGGTTGACCTAGAAATCATGGTGTGGTATCTTACCCGTGTAATATGGAGAAGTGTCTTCTCCACCCAAGCCACTCCCTCCCCATGAACACACACGTCCAATTAGACAGTGCACATGCCTACCACTAAGCCGACCTACACAGCATCTGCAGAAGATGAGAGAGAAAGGTCCTGCTTTCTGTTGACAAACATTCAGCCTCGGTTTGCTCACAGACTCACACATGACTCATCGTGTGACTGTGCTCACTCCCTGCCTCAAAGGTCAGCGGGGGTGGGAAAAACCAACAGGCCAGCAAGCTGGCAAGGAATGACGAAGCTCCCCAACTCTACCCTTGATCCCACTTGAAGGGTGACCTACTCCAAATGTCACCTTTCTGCAAAAACTGCCCTTTGAGGTCTGGAAAAGATAAGGAGAGTTACCGACTATTCCCCAAGGCCCAAAGGATAGTTGAAAAGTACATCTGTGGTGAAAACAGGACTTCATCTCTCAGGGTTTTCAAATACAATCCAGCAACTCCATGTGAGCAGGAAATGCTGAGACACTCTGAGGTCAGTGCAAAGGTACCAGCTCTTGTCATATTTTCACTGCACTGTTCACACAACCATTTACTTAATAAGCATAAACTCCAACCTCATATTAGGTTGGTGCAATAGTAATTACAGTTTTGGACCCTGATTTTAAATCATTATAACTAGGCTCAAACACATCTTTAGTAATCAAAATAGGAGCCATTACACTCAAAATATTTTTGCCAAAGAGAAATAAGCTTGTTTATTCTTGTACCATAAAAATCCGTGCTATGGGATTTGATGAACTCTTGGAAAGCATTTTCTACCTCCTGTTGGTTGTGAAAGCATTTTCATTTTCCCTGCAAAAAGTTGTCAAGATGCTTGAAGCAGCAGTAGTTAGTTGGCTACTTGGCAATATGTCAGATGAGACAAACCTTTATAGCCCAATTCATTCAACTTTTGAAGCGCTGGTTGTGCAACGTGAAATCGGGTGTTGTTGTGGAAAACACTGCATCTTTTTTTGTTGACCAATGTCAGCTGCACACATCAGTTTTCAGTGCATCTCATCAATTTTCTGAGAATACTTCTCAGATTAATAGTTTTTCCGGGATTCAGAAAGCTGTAATGGATCAGACAGACCGAAGACCACCAGACAGTGATCATGACCTTTTTTTGGTGGAAGCTTGGCTTCAGGAAGTGCTTTGGAGCGTCTTCTCTGTTCAAACACTGAGCTGGCTGTCTCTCTTGTTGTATAAAATCCACTTTTCATCGCATGTCACAATCTGATTGAGAAATGGTTTGTCGTTGTTACACAGAATAAGAGAGGATGACACTTCAAAATGACAGGTTTTTTTGATTTGCGGTCAGCTCATGAGGCCCCCTCTTATTAAGCTTTTTTGCCTTTCCAATTTGCTTCAAAATACCAAACGACACAGAATGGTCAACATTGAATTCTTCAGCAACTTCTCCTGTAGTCGTAAGAGAATCAGCTTCAAAGATCTCCTCAATTGGTCATTGTGAACTTCAGATGGCTGGCCACTGTGCTCCTCATCTTCAAGGCTCTAGTCTCCTTTGAAAAATTTCTGGAACCACCACTGCACTGTACATTCATTAGCAGTTCCTGGGCCAAACGCGTTGCTGATGTTACGAGTTGTCTCCACTGCTTTCTGACCCATTTTGAACTCAAATAAGAAAATTTTCTAACATCATTTCCATAGTCTAAAATACATATAAAATAAGCAGCAAGTAATAATTCATTAGCAAAAAACATAAAACATACACATTAAAATGATGTATAACATAACCACATTGAAGAAAGTATTCCAATATCAAATGGCAAAGTTCAGCAATGCAAAACCACAATTACTTTTGCACTACCAAATAGGTTTTTAAAAGATTAACTCCCCCAGCAAAAGTAGCAGCACAAAAATGGTGAGACCTATTCGGTTTTCCTATTGTTCTTATTAGAATCTAATTCAACTGCAACAGTAAGGGTTACTATATGAAAAAAGTCAAAGTGTTAGGTGCTCAGTCGTGTCCAGCTCTTTGTGATCCTATGGACTGTAGCCCGACAGGCTCTTCTGTCCATGGGATTTCCCAGGCAAGAATATTGGAGTGGGTTGCCACGCCCTTCTCCAGGGGATCTTCCTGACTCAGGGACCCAACCCTAGTCTCCTGTGTCTACCAGCACACTGCAGGTGGATTCTTCACCATCTGAGCCAGGAAGCCCAATGGTTAAAATATACTGAGTGCCATTTGTGACAAACACCAAATGTTATCTTCTAATTTCACAATACTCTTACAAGGTGAAGATTAAATTTGATCACTGGTTCCTCTGCCTTTTCTGTACTATAATTATCAAACTTGGAGAGAGGCTACAACTGAATGATTCCTACCCTAAAAACAACTGACAATTATGTGATAGAGGTGTTAAACATCACTACAATAGTAATCATATTACAATATATAAATGCACCGGAACAATGTGTTGCACACTTTAAATTTACATAATGTTATTACATCAAATATATTTTGATGAAAAAAGATGGATCATTTGCCTTACAGAGACAGAAAACATACATGACTCATTTCTTATTAAAAATTGTCTGCACTCCCATTCCCACAAAAAAATAATCCAGATTTTTACCTATCTTTTCAACCTTTTCTCCTTCAACATCTTGCTCAGCTTCTGTTGTACATCGATAGCCCTTCTTCTTAAGCAGGTGGCAAATGAGGACGCCAAAGAGACCCATGACGAAGAACACAGGGACAAGGGCATACGCGATATATTCCGGGTGTCCATTCCCAGTGTTGTTTGTGGGCGAGGGTGTCGTCTGGGTTTTGGAGGGTAACGGATGGCTGCCACTATGATCTGAGGAAGAAACATACACAGCTGCATCAGATGTCTACTGGAGACAAGGAACATCTGACAACCTTGGGAAATGTTCCTGTTAAATGTGAATCTGTTTCCAACACCACAGGCCAGGCAGAGGCTGGCAGGTCAGGCAGGACAGGCACATGGGCTTGAGCTCCTATCCTGACCCTGCTACTCATAATCGGGGCCACCTTGGGGTAATTTTTTTTTTTTTAAGCTCTCCAAGCCAGCCTCTGCTTCTTCATCCGTGAGATTACCTATACATTGTGGAGTGATTGCACAGAGTTTCAGCAAAGGGTCCACAGAGAGGGCACACACCATCATTAGGTGGTATCATAGCAGTCCTTAGCAGCTAAAAGCACGGACTCAGGAGACTTGGGGTCAAGTCCCAGCTCCACCACTTTGCAGCTGTGTGACTCTGGGCAACAACTTAATCTCCATGCCTTGGATTCTTATGAACAGACATACTAACAGTACCCAACCCACCCCTCGAGGCTTGTTATGAAGATGAAATAAATGAATACACATAAAACATCTAGAACCATTTCTACAAGAAAGCAAATGCTCAACTACACGGCAGGCATCACTTTAGGCATTTGTGACTTACCACTGAGCAAAACAAGGACCCCTGTCCTCAAGGAGCATATGCCCCAGAAAGATAGAGTAGACTGACCGACCTAGTGTGTGAAAAAAGAGACAAATCCAGGACGCATCAGGTTTGGGGCCTAGGGGCGCACATAAAAAAATGAAAGCACGTGCATTTGCGTGTCTGCTTACCAACCCAAATGATCATTTATGGCATGACTGTTATATGAAAAGCACCAGCTGGGAGCTGGATAGAGAATGGAAAACAAGATAGCATGACCAGTGCCAACTTGGAGCCTGTAGGGAAACAGGCGCTAAGTAAGTGAACACCTGGGCAGGCGTGAGAGGCCGGGAGAAGGTCTGCATGGGGCACTAAAAGAAACGGGAACAGTGGGGACCTGTTTCATGACTTCAGAAACAGTGCAGCTGGGAAGGGGGCCTCTGTGGGGGAGAAGGAGCCATCTGCTTCTGGACAAGTGAGAGTTCCACACGGACTTACACCAGAAGCAGCTAGATATCTGAGCCCACGAGTGTGCCAGGACATACAGGGAACCGAGTCACCTCCACGAAGGGGGCCCAGCTCGCACAAGCATGAGATTGCGCCAGTTAAGATAACGGAGAAAGAGCCGGCTGTGTGGAAATTCAGCCAAGCATCAATTCACACACACAAGATGAAAAGGGAGTCATCACACCAAGGAGGGGACGTCAGGAAGGATGAGGACTAAAGGAAAATGTGGGGGTGGACTGAAGTGAAGTCTCATTATTTGGGGTACTCAGATTCTGAAGTGACACAATGAGGTTTTCTGCATCACAGAGATTTACGCATATTGCTTAAGAAACCCAGAAACCGGAAATCTAGATGCATTTAACTATAAACTCTCTTGAGAATATTTTGGTGAGGGAAAAAAAGAACTGTACTGTAATGATCACATGAGGACAAATACCAGGTGTGAAATGACCATATTTCATCACTGCAGCAAACAATATCAGAGGGCTGTCTCACTTTCAGATGGAAATAACCATTATCTCTGCCCATGAAAGGAAACTGCTGGTTTCTCGGGTTTTGTAAAAGGTGGCATTCTTTATATTATCACAAAACCTCTAGAATTTGGGGATAAGCTACACATTTATTCTGATTTCTCTCCCAAGAATATAATTAATAAATGGATGAATGAATAAAAAAGAGTACACACACACACTTCCCTAAATATATGCAAACATCCAAATTAGGGTTTAACACTAAGACTTAATTTCAGTAAAAACCAGACGTTTAACTCCCTTAGTAATTCTAAGCATTTTATTTATTAATTCCTTTTAAAAAACATATTCCATGCAACAGGAATAGATAAAGCAGGCAACGTGTTAAGACTGAAAGAGTTTTACTCAGAATCATAGTCGGTTTCAATCTGGAAGTGGTAAATTCTGTTTAGGGAGCAGCAGAAACAGGAACGAAAACAGGGGGCTCAGAATTGAAGGCAAGCAGCTCATCCTGAATCAGGTGGTTAAGAATGTGTGTTCATCATTAATTTGACCTCTAGGAAACACTTGAAAATACTATGAATTCACAGTTTGTGATTTACAGGCAGGTGTCAGTCATTTAATCTCATAATTATCACACCATGGAAAAAGCTGAGGAAGATATGACTCTAAATTAGTGAAACATGAATTACAGAGATGCACTGTAGCTGAAAGATCAGACTGCCTAGCATAAATAATTGCTTGGCCATTAACTAGGCATGTCACCTTGAATAAGTTTAACTGCTCTGTTCTCAATTTCCTCATCTGAAAAATGGAATCAAAATGATTGTACCTTTCTACAATGGTTTCAAAATGTGGCCCCAAATTCTTTGGCAGTCATTGTTTTAAGCCACTAAGTTTTGTGGCAATTTTTTATATAGCAGAGTAACTGGGAGACTATTTGTTAAATTCATAGTGAGGATCACACACATTAATGTGTAAAGCACTTAGAGTATTTAGGAAAAGATAAGCACTATTAAAGTGTTTATTCTTGGGCTTCCCTGCACTCAGTCGGTAAAGAATCAGCTTGCAATGCATAAAACCTGGGTTCCATCCCTGGGTTGGGAAGATCCCCTGGAGGAGGGCATGGCAACCCACTCCAGTATTCTTGCCTGGAGAATCCCCAAGGACAGAGCAACCCGTTGGGCTACATTCCATGGAGCTGCAAAGAGTCAGACGTGACTGAGCGACCAAGCACAGCATATAGAAGTGTTTAGTTATTATCTTGATAGACCTGCACTACCCAATATAGTAATCACTAACCACAAATAGCAATTTAAATTTGTCAATTAAAAATAGATAAAATTGAAAAATTCAGTTCCTTAGGTGGACTAGCCACATTTCAAATGCTCAACAGTCATATGTGGCTAACTGGTTCATATTAGACAAGTCAGATAAAGAACATTTCCATCATCCCAAGAGCCTCTTGATAAAAGAGGAGAGTAAAAGAGGAGAGTGAAAAGCTGGCTTAAAGCTCAACATTCAAAAAACTAAGATCATGGCCTCCATTTCCATCACTCCATGACAAAAAGTGGGGAAAAAGTGGGAACAGTGGCAGATTTTATTTTCTTGGGCTCCAAAATCACTGCATATGGTGACTGCAGCCACAAAATTAAAAGACGCTTGCTCCTTGGAAGAAAAGCTATGACAAACCTATACAGCATATTAAAAAGCAGAGACATTACTTTGCCAACAAAGGTCCGTCTAGTCAAGGCTATGGTTTTTCCAGTAGTCATGTATGGATGTGAGAGTTGGACCATAAAGAAGGCTGAGCACTGAAGAATTGGTGCTTTCAAAGTGTGGTGCTGGAGAAAACTCTTGAGACTCCCTTGGACAGCAAGGAGATCAAACCAATCAATCCTAAAGAAAATCAACCCTGAATATTCATTGGAAGGACTGATGCTGAAGCTGAAGCTCCAATACTTTGGCCACCTGATACAAAGAGCTGACTCTCTGGAAAAGACCCTGATGCTAGGAAAGATTGAGGGCAAGAGGAGAAGGCAGTGACAGAGGATGAGATGATTGGATGGCATCATTGCCTCAATGGACATGAGTTCAAGCAAACCCAGGAGATGGTGAAAGACAGGGAAGCCGGGCCTGCTGCAGTTCATGGGGTCGCAAAGAGTCAGAGGCGACTGAACCAGTGAACAACAAGAAGTTATATTGTACAGCCCTGTTATAGACTACAAAGAATCATTAAAGAGCAAAATGTTGACTGGAGAATCTCTGTTATCTACCTCAGTAATTTAAGAATAACTTTTAAATCACAAAGTAACTATTCACAATTAATGCCTAAGATACTGGTTAACTTAGGTAGGCTTAATGTTTCTTCAATTTATACAAATAATCTGCTTAGAGACACCATGGCCATCTTTTTTCTTCATCCTTAGCTGACTCATATCTGAATTCTGAAAAACACTGAGTCCAAATTAATAGCAAAGGTTGTTGTAACATTATTTATAAAAAGTCAAAAAAAAGCAACAACTGCATGTTTGACAATGGGATAATAATAAAATGTCTAAGTCAACCATTGTCTATCCATTTGATGGAATAATATGCACCATTTAAAACTATTCATGAAGATTTTGTGAAGATATAGGGACATACTTATAATCTAATATTGAATTTTAAAAGGTGGATTCAAAAACTGTACATACTGTAGGATCAAACTAGTAAAAACAAAAAAAGTACATGAAGGTATAAACTACACAAAGAAATAACCAAAATAGTAAGTGATTCTTGGTAATTGGATAATAGGTTAATAATTAATTATATTTCTAAGCTTTTCTGTAATTTTTAAAAATTCTTACATATGTATTACATACGTACCAAAGTGGTAGACACTTTAAAGAAAAAAAAAGATATACAGCAGAGGTTGTGAGCCATTTGAGAGTCATAGATCACCAATCCCTTTGTAAACCTATTGGATCCTATGGTTCCTATTTCAAAATTGTGCTTCCAAATTCTGTAACCTCTGGACCCTAAGTTAACCGAAGTGCAAGTGACTTGATAAGGATGATGCCCAAGCACCTGCATGAGTAACACAGCGAACACTGGTGCCATTCGCTGAGATGAAAAACATCTGGGAAAAAAATCAAGTTCGAATGGTGCTATGGGTTGAATTTTGCCTCACTCTGAATACATATGTGGAAGTCCTAACCTCAAGTACCTAAGAACGTGACCATATTAGGACACGGGATCTTTTTACAAAGGTAATCAAGTTAAAATGAAGTGTTTAGGGTAGACCCTAGTCCCACGTGGCTGTTGTCCTTTAAAAAAAAAAAAGGAAATTTGGAGGCAGACTCGAAAACATCACGTGAAGACGGAGATTAGAGTGATGCTTTGGAGAAGCCGAGGAACACCAGAGATTGCCAGCAAACCACCAGAATCCACAA